GAAAAAAAGCTCATGAAAAATACCAGGTCATTATAAGGTCATTWTACTTATTTTTTATTTTAATATCTTTCTGTGCAAAATGATTGCTATGCAGCTGTGCTCACTGGTGAAATTTGGTTTATTCCTGTTGCTGCAGATGGCTGCAGTAAGAGTGGCAGGATCTCAGCCTGAAACAAGTCACACGTTTTCTGTCAATGGATGTTTTATTTGTGAAATTTCATTCTCTGCATAGTACAAAATATTTTTCTGCTAAAGCATAAGGAAAACAGGAAGGATGGAGCAGAGTGATCTGTTATTTCTACAGGAGAAATTCCAAGCAAAATAGTGGGAGAGTACTTAAAAAACAGGGGGGAAAAGGAAAAAAAATCTGTCTTTTTTCTTTTCAATCCAGTAGTGGAAATTGATTAATGAAGCCTGTCTGCAGCCAGTACAAAGGGCCAGATCTTCAGCTAATATTAAATAGCAAGCTTCTACTTTTGAAAACCAGAAAGAGGAAGGGGACATAAAACTGAAAAACAAACAGGCATATTTGATCATTTAGTGGTGAATAGATCAGGCACTCCTCAGTTGCAGGGTTTTATTTTTGTGCATTGTGTCAACGATTGGGAACCATATGTTTTCAGACCAGCTTCAATAGTATCAGTAGCTACAGTCCTGCTCTCAGATTACTTTTTACTGCCTGCCTAATTTTGAGCTTTAATAGCTAACATGCACTTTGTTTATCAGTTACAAATGTTCTGAATGTTGATGAAACCAGCTAAACAACATATATTGGCTTATCATCAGTCCTRAAGACTGAGATAAAATGTGTTTAATGTTGTGGCCTGCGACTTTGCGAACAAGGAGTTCTTAGAAATAAGAAGAATAATCTSAGAATTGATGGCTCTGGTTCTGAATGTGAGATGTTAGCACTCAGATCCTGACACAGCTCTTGCTATTCACAGAAGAATCCATYCTATAAGGAGCAGAATCTTTTGGCACCAAAAGTGCAGCCAAGTATAGCACAGTTAAGCCCCCTTGGATGGCACAGTCCCATATGAAATGCTTTATTGCACTGGGACAGTCTGGTGGTGTTCAAATTAAATATATTTAAAGTATTTCCAGAATCAGACCYTTGGTACCTTGCAGGCGTGAGCACTAATATGTGAAATAGCCAATTTTTATGTAATTCTGTTTAGCTGTACAGCAAAGAAATTTAAAAGAGTCTCTAGATTATGTTATTTATCTTCTAATTACTTGAGGACAGAGCACCTCTCCTCTGTTTTTAAAACACTGCATAAATTAACAATGTTCAAACAATAACAGCAGCAGCAATTCAGGGCATTTAGCAGAGAGAAAGCAACCATTAGCCTTGAGAATGAAATTTCACTGGAATCCACAAAATAATGTGTTAGGAAATATTATGGTTGCCAACTTTCGCAATTTTGTTGAAAGTCTTCTAAAATGTGAGGGTTGGGGTGTTTGGGGTTTGTTTTTGTTTTTTTTCCCCACAAAGCCTGAGCATTGGCATCATGTGRAAACATGAAAATGAGAGATTCTGTTTTAATTTTAGAAGACAACTAAGTTACTCAGCATTGTGGTTGCAAAGAGAAATTGAAAACATGAACCCAAGGGCCAGAGAACAATTAGGAAGAGCCCAAAATGCATTAYTTCTAAATTCTTACACTTTGCAAAGAGATTTCTGACTTGGGGTATTTCCATGCTCAGGGTTAACCATATTCAGTACCCCAATAACCCTCTATCATTATGAGGATTTCTCACCTTGGTTTGTGACAGAGGGTGACATCACATCATAATTGTCAGGGAGAACACTGAAGTTCAATATTGGCTCATTCCTTGTTTTTAAAAGCAGAACCAGTTATTTCTACTGATGTAGCTCTCTTCATTTTCACAATGAGGTCAACAGCAGAAACTGGCAGTACTTCCTCAAGGGAAATACACTTTACAGAGTAGCTAAAATTTGGGATCTAGCTCTTCCCTTTCTTCTCAGAGAGGCTGAGATGTGGCTCTCCCAAAGCACAGGATAAACCCTCTGGATCSCAGGCCCTAAGGACAGGRTATGGACTGGCTGCTCTGGTGCYCAAGGAGGACCTTCATCTCCTAAAYCTGTGCAGGACACTCTCACCCAGCCCAATGACTGGGAGCATTTCTATTTGGAATATGTGGAGCTTTCTGCACCATTTCCATTAGGTCTGAGTTTATGATTAGCAGGAATAAACACAGTGTAACAAGTCAAACAAATCCCCTTCTAAACCTGCCTTGTTTTCTGACCAAAAAATATCCCACTGCTCTGAGAAATCCCTGGCATTGTCTGGCTGCTGATGCCCCAGCTTGATGAAATGGAGACTTTTACCAAGCCAGATACTAGGACTGGCTCCTTCTCACATCTGTACCTGTACCCCATGCAGCTCTCTGACCCTACACCCCAACCCACAGTCTCACCAACCACATTATTCCCTTGCCTTTCTAAATGGCTTTTAAGATCTAAAGGTATTTTCCAGGATACTAACAATGATGAAAATACTTCAGATTCCTAATTGAAAAAATACCCTTTATCTTCCTCTTTGCCCACCCTTTTCCCACTGTGCCCTGATAACTTTTCTAAATATTGCATACAATGTTTTCAGTAAATAAAAAGGATATTAGAGTAGACAAATAATGTTTACTCACCAGCTCAAGTAAGGTGTTTCTGGCACCAATTCACAACTTAGTCACAATTTACAGAAATTACTTATACTGAAAGGGACAAGGAGTGTCTTTTTGTGTGCAGGGTGCTGAACAAACAATGAGGTCCTGGTCCCTGCTTGGCTTGCCGTGGCATTACCACAAACAATACTAATTCTTAAATACCTGCCTGACTTTAAGCACTTAGGTAAATAATTGTGTTGATTGTTGTAGGACTATTCACATGCATAAAACTAAGCATATATTCAAATATGTTGTGAAATCAGTGGTTGAAGGAATTTTGCAAGCAAGGCATTTTTAGATACGAATTTACTTGTTAAAACCAGCTTCAGAAGGAGCTAATGTGGCAATCAGGCTTTTGGGCAGGGCAGGGGGAGGAAGGAGAAGATTTATTTTCAAGATGGATCCAAGGACTTTCCTGTACTTCAGAGATTCCTCCCCAGAACCACAATTACAGGTGAGAAAGGCACCAGACAAGTCCCCCCAACCAGTGATTGCTCCGAGTTTAATGTGAGAGCAGTGTAAACTCAGAACTGCAGATAATCCATGGGGAAATCAGGGGGTTAGTGCCGAGAACTGATGGGGAATAACAACTGAAAGAGCTTTGGTTTTTCTAGGCTGGCGGGAGGTAGCTCAGGCTAGGAAGCCTGCCAGCTCCAAACTGATGCTGGGAGCTTTGTCTCCTTTGGATTGTAGGAACACACTTTGCAGTCAAACTGATCTGAGAGATTTTGATAGTAAAAACAGCTGTCTCGTTGCAATGATGTTTTTGTTCCATTGTCAAAATTTTGAGTTAAATCCATGAGTGGGCTGCAGCTTGTTCAAACCCTGAACTCAACACCCTTTGTGCTCCTTTGGCTTTTCCACTGCGGTTCATGGGATATCTCCTTCCTGAGGAAAGGGCTAGGTGTAATAAAAGCCGTCAGGACAAGGAATTGCAGGTCTCCTCTGATGCCTCCCCAGTGCTGGAGAGACAGAACTGGAGAGCTGCAGTCTGTCCCAGACTGGTGAGAAGGGGGAATAAGGAGGAAGAGCAGGGTGTGGAAATGAAACACTCCAGTGCTGCTGCAGTCAGGCTGCATCCTCAGCGAGCAGGTACGCTGGTGGGAAGGGGCAGCTGTGGGGTACCTGAGGGGGATGAGGCCAGCACGGGCAAGGGGAAGCTGTCTGTGGGTGCACAGCACAAGGGGATTCAGGGAAGGTGCACTGTGGGATGTGCCAGCCCCATCTTCCCAGCATAAACCATCTGAAGGTGCTTCTTGCCCCGCTTTTGGATGTGCAAGCAAGCAGATGGGGCACCTGATTGAGGCGTCCAGCACATCAGGCGTGAGCTCAAGGGGCACATGCCAGACAGCCCTGGTTTTGTGCTGACACGGGAGATGGGACAGCACCTCTGTATGGCCACAAAACCATTGTGTCTCCCTTGAGGTGATGGGAAATATGGGCAGGCTTTTGCCCTCTGGGGAGCCAGGAGCCGTGCGATGCTTTGGGAGTACAGAAGGGTGGCTTGTACGGGTGATGCTGTTTCTGCAGGACCCACGGCTCTGTGGCACTGCGCGTGTAAGACAAAACAGATGTCAACAAAAGCCCTTCCTTTTAAGCTGRTATTTTAAAATTGTCACTAGAGATCTGTAACAAAAGAACTGCAGTGAAAATGATTATTTTCATGCAAACAGAGGCTACACACAAGGTGGTGTTCACATGGTAYTCAAGGGTCCAAGTTCTTCACGACGAATTTCTTTCAAGGTCCTGCAGCTCGGTGTGCGCTGACAGCACGGACGCGTGAACYGCAGCTCCGGGCGGCAGCGAGCGCGTACAGCGCGTACCTGCGGCGGGTGAGAGCTGCCCGGCCCCTGCCCGGGAACGGCGGCTCCGCGCTCGCTGCGGCCCGGGGGGCGCGGGCAGCTCCGTGACA